AGGGATGGGCAGCAGGCAAAGCAGCAGCTGGGAGCTGCTGGTGTCTTCTGCTGGACTTTCCACTGACCTCCTTCCTTCTCCCTTAGCTGAGCTTGCTCAGGAGGTTTCATCTTCTGTCTCTGTTCTAGAGGTCTCCTCACTGCTGTGTTCTGCATCAATTTCTTGGTACCATCTCTACCACAGAAAAGCCCCAAGACAAAAGTACCTGGGAAGGTGGAGATGGTGCAAAGTGTTGATCACCTTTACACCCCTGACATTGTGAGAGGATATTGGGGAGGTCTCTGGGTGACAAGTGCCAGCTGGGAATGTGCTCTGGGCAGAGGAGGCAGAGAACTGGCAGCAGCTCCAAAAGCAGAAGTAAGTTGATTTTAGAGACTTTTTAAAGACGGGAAAGAGTTAGTGATAAGGTCTAAACACAATCTACCATTCAAATGAGAGGTCAGGTTGAAAGTAGGAGATTTAGTCAACTTCAATGGAAAATAATCCCAGTTTTCATTCCTGGCACAAAGGGGATGTGTCTGTATGAGTTTCAGAGTGCTTCAAAGAGACGTGAGAATTTAGATGTCCTAATTGATGATTATTCACAGAACAGGCTAACCTCACTGGCTTACTATGCCTGCAAGAGAATTTGTCTAGTCATGGGTAATTGTCAGAATATTTAGAGTTATGGTTTGGAAAAGCATAAGAGATCTGGAGGTCTGTCTGAACCATCTCTTTGCAAATGCAGGCTGGCAGCCTCACACAACTGGGTTTTCCTGCTGAGTCCCCTGGCACTGCTGTGTGTTCCTGGCTAGACATGCCACAAGTGAAACCTCTCCTGTGTGAACAGGGCGGCTCTTCGTGCAGCCTTAGCCAGGAAAGCAAACAAAACTGAAAGGCAAATGTTATCTGACCACTTCTAAACTTCAAAAGCATTTAAGGTCAAGCTGTTATGTTGGTATATAGATATATGTTAAAAAATAGCAGCATTTGGAAGGACTGAGCAAAGAAGTTTCCTGTGGTTTGTTTTTCTTTTTTTCAGACTGGATTTCCTGTCAGGTACACCCAGAATGAGGAGAAGGGCCCAATTGTGTGGATAAGGAGGAAAAAAATCAAAGGTGAACCCTTATGAGGACTGAACAGGTTGGAATTGTGGGTATGACTGAGCTCCAGGGCTCCTTTCCCAACATCAGCCTGGCAAGAAAGGTGCTCCAAACAGTCCATGGCACATATGATGTCTGTCATTGCTGTGATACACAGGCAATTCCTCACAGGCACTTCCACAACTGTGCAACATGGACCTGCCCAGTATTTAATGTTATGCATAACTGAGTAGGAGAGACTGCAAAAACCACAGTGAAATAAGCACATGTGTTCAAATTGCCATGTCAAACTATAACCTGATGGAGATATTGAAGTTAATTATAGAAATGTCATTTTTTTAACCCACCTACTTGCTTTTTTTCTGCGCAAACTCACAATTCAGGCATTCTTTGCACAATGAAGCATTATGCAACTTGTTAATTAAGGCAGGTAGAGATTTTGTAATCCTAAATTCTGAGAGGCTTTCCTATGGTACAGGGCTCCCCTGGGCTCCTAAGGGCAAGTAACTGGCTTTTGCCATGTCAGAAACAAACATTTCCCATCTTCCGTGGGGAAGATCTCTTTTACAGCATTCCCATGGCAACAGGGGACTAATCTAATACACACACAGCCATCTGACCCACAGAAGCAGAAAAGTCAATTTTATCTGAATTCAAACTTTTCTATATGAGTGCAAATTCATAAGGGATATGTTTTGACAGTTTTTGAGACTGGCAATTTCTGTTTGCAAAAAGATTGTGCAGTTTTGTTGAGCCTGTGGTGAGAGAAAGGGACTGATCTCAGGCATAAGAAACTATTTATCATAGACTCATGGAATCACAGAATTATAGAATTGTAGAATCACAGAATCATTTGTATTGGAAGGAACCTTAAAGAGCATCCCATTCCAAACCCCCACCACCACCATGGGCAAGGACACTTTCCAGTAGATCAGATTGCTCAGGGCTCCATCCAACCTTGAACACTTCCAAGGATGGAGTATCCACAACCTCTCTGGGCAACCTGTTCCTCTCACAGGCACATCCACTCAAGAGCCTCTGAGAGCTCAGCTGGGGTGTTGGTGGCACTAATTCAGTGGCAACAGCCCAGTCTCCAAACCAGGCAGCACAGGGAACCTGCAGCCAGCTGTAACCTGCTTTGGGAAGGCATTAGTTCCTCTTTGGGAAGGCATTAGTTCCTGCTTTGGGAAGGCATTAGCTCTTGTTTTGGGAAGGCAGGTGCTCACCCTCATTGCTGCACCAAGCACTCTCCACCCCCAAGCCAAGCTCTTGGCAAAGCCCTCCTCAGGTGTTACCTGTGCTCACAGACAGGACTCACAAGCACAAACAGCAGCACAAATCCAGCAGCTCCCAGGGTAGGTAAGGTGTCTGCTGCTCTGCTCAAGTGGCACACCAGAGCACAGCAGTGATCTGGCTGGAAAAGGCTGCTTCAGACACATAGTGGAGGGTCAGCAAGCTAGGGCAGCCAGCATTCCTCCAGAGTCTGCAGGGAACCTAGAGGTGGGGACAATCTGATGTAATTGTGACCACGGGACTGCTGCCTTTCCCTGGAAAGACAAGCCTGTCTGCATGCCAGGCCCAGCACAGCAGCAGGCAAGCTCATCCCTTACAGTGTACAGGCAGCTAGCATTGGACTCGAGGGCTCTGTGGCCACCCAAAGATGAGGATTCAGCCCTGAATGCATAAACCTAGATGTTGCCTTGAAAATAAAGCAACAATCTTCCCCCTTCTCAGGGAAGACGTGAGCTTTGCCATAGCTGACAGCATTGTCTTATCAGAAGGCACCTTCCTCTCCTGTTTAGCTAAGAGACTCAGCTCTGTCCAAAATGAGTTCTGCTCCTTGAAGGCTTATGGAGAATTGATCTAGGAAACCTGTATGGTTTCACCTCCAGCCTAGAAATGCCAGAACTGAGACTGGACCAGATCTGACAGCTTAGCAGGGAGAAAAAGCACTGAAAATCAGTTCTGTGGCTTTTCAGAGGCAGGCATGAAGGACATGACATGTTTTAGGATTGCTGTCAGAAGGGGAAAGGCTGCCTTCATGTCAACTTAATGCTGGAGAAGCCTGACCAGGTTTTACTGCTGCTCTAAGCACAGCACAAAGTCTGTGCTGCTCTGCCCAGGTGAGAGGTGGTTATTCATTCACCAAACTTCAAATGCTGCAGGAAAGTCATTTAGCACCTGAGTACATGCACATAAATCACCAGCCATGTTAAAGAGTATAAGGAGTTTTAAAAAGCACCTTGCCTCCTCCTTGGTGCACAGCAAAGGCAGCACGAGCCTTTGATAAGAGAAGCATAGAAAGCAACAGCTGGTACAGGCATAGAGTTAATTCTTGGCTACCAGCTTCAGCCCCAGGACTCCACCTTACAACACAGCTTTCTCCTTCAGCCTATGGAAGCAGAGAGAAAAGAAAACCAAAGTGTTATCCCAGTTTTAATGATCTATTGCTTCAAGCCGTACTTGGGGGAAGCCTCATCAGACTGAAGGTAAAGAGCATGGAAAATGCAAGGTGCACCTTCAGGACAAGGTCCCCAGTGCATGTGTCTTAATGACAGCCTGCTCTTGGCTTATTTGGCATTAATTGCTAAGGTTACTCCTGCTGTGTCTTCTGTGCTGCAAAAAATAAGGGTGATCTGCAGAAATGAAGGTCACAGATAGGTAGCAGATATCTCTGACACTTAAAGCCTTGGTAGATGTGAGTGGGGATGGCAGAGTTAGGGGGAACTATAGCATTACAACCCTTTCCCTCATCTCACCCAGAACTTATCAGCTAGAGTAGCCTTACAGCTCCCTTTGCCTGCAGGAAAAGCAGCTCTGCTAAAAGGAATACTTTTTACAAGCGCCAACTGCTTTGGGTTTGTTCCCATGTTGGACAGCCTTGAAACAAAGTGCAAAGCCAATCCCAATAGAAAATTGTTCTGTCTCTGTGCACAACCTCAAAGGTCTACTGCTGAAAGCAGGGAATCCCCAAAAAGCCTTCTGCAGATTTGAAATAAGTTATTCAGGAGAGAGAAAAATGGTTATTTCTGTGCATCAATTTCTCCTTGTCACATGAGCAAAAGGTGACAAATAAATCTCCATAACGGCACAACCACCTTCATGGCACCCCCCTCTTTGACTAGGAAATCATCTCTGTGGGCTCTACTTTGCCAGTGGCTGAGAAGAAAATAGAGGCACAGTAGGATGTCCCTGCCACCTGGCTGGCTTATGGCTGACCAGGGCTATTGCAGAAGAGATGAGAGGTTTATGGATCAAATCAAATCCTCCTTCTTCTTACTCAAGGCAACAAACCATCCTAATTCTGAATGATGGAGAGGAAAGCCCTCAGATGTCCAAATCTGGCTTCTTGGGGAAATTTTGCCTGTAGGAGCTCATTTTCCCACACAATTAAACTTAAGGCCTTTTTAGTTTAGGTGGCATTCCCTCTACAAATTTCAGAGGACTGAAGAGAAGATGAAAATAGAAGTAATCCCTTAGGCCAGGGAGGAAGCAACTAGTTCATTTTCAACCATGGTTGTGTGACAGCAACTTTCTTGGCACTCACTTGGATGGGAGGAAGGTCTTCTAGACAGAAAGCAAGCAGTGCTTTAATATTCTTGGCAGTGTTAGGTTAATGGCTGGACTCGATGACCTTAGATATCTTTTCCAACCTAAATAATTCCAACCTAAATAATTCTATGATTCTATGAATGTAAGACTTTGGCATCTCTTCCTGCACCCCAGAAAACCCCAACCCCTCCAGCTGGTAAACTGGCATCATCCCCATACACAGAGAATATAAAACAGAGCAGCAAAGCAGAACCTTTTTGAGGGTAGATAAGGTTTTCTTCACTTTTCCCTCTGTTATTACAGAATCATAGAATACTGTGAGTTGAAAGGGGCCCACAAGGATCATGAGTCCAGCTCCAAAATGAATGGCCCATAGAGGGATCAAACCCACAATCTTGCTGTTATCAGCACCATGCTCTGACCAGCTGAGCCAATCTCAGCCATGATGAAACCAACTCAGCATCTCATCTCCACGGTTTTTGTGTTTGACATTAAGCATATATCTACATATCTCAGCTGAAGAGAGGATTTTCTTCCTGTCAGGCTGGCTATGTACATTAGCAAAGGAAAGCTTAACAGGGCCTTTACAGATCTTCATTTTTCAGTTACACTTGCAATATCACAAGTTTCATCACTAAACCAAAACCCAGGGCATTTCTTGTGGCATCCAAGCTGCAAATTGGAATGTCAAGTAAAATGAAGACTTATAGGATTGTAATTCCCCAGGACAAAAGAGGGGCCGCTTTTATAAAGCACTTCTGTCAGCTCCATGGAAATCCTTCCAGCAGGCTTAGCCTATGAAGGAGGAATTTACAAGCTGGTGATGATTAAAAGCCAGAATTGTGAAAATGGCAAGCAGGCCTTGCTTAAAGGTCTAATTTGATCCAAGTCAATAATAGCATAGCTAATAGAAAGACAATATGTATTCAATACATAATTTCATCCTCTCTCAAAAATGCAGGGAAAAACTCCACCACAATCTTGGATATTCATTCTGATCACAAGTTGCAGATCTGTCACTTCACAGCAGCACCCAGATTCCCTTCCAAGGAGCATTTGGGTCCTGGCACAGACCTGGTTAAAAGTGCAAAAATGGGGAGAAACACAAAACAAATGTCCAGATTCTGCCTTCCTTATATTCAGGTCTGGTTTCAGCACTGAATAAAGGATCAGAATCTGGCCTCAGGAGTCTCAAAGGTATTGCAAGCCAAGGCAGAAGAACCTGAACTGACTCTGCCCACTGCTAGTTGCCTTTGCATGTGACTCTGGTGATGCAGTGTTCCCCAAATAGAAGTTCATACCTTTTCACCTTCAGAGCTGGCCTATTTCTACTCTCTAGTATTCAAAAATAAGTTTCTCTTCATCCCAGAAAGGAGCCATGCTATAAATATCTCCATGCAAAGTCCTAATGTTTCTCACAGAAGGGTGCAGCTCCTTGTCACAAAGCAACAAGCTTGGCTGGGTTGTTTCTGCAATGCCTTTATTAATGTCCTTGTGCTTCAGTGGCTGCAGAGCAGGAATGGAGAAATGGGCAGGAGCAGTAGCATTGCTGTAACCATGGTGGTCCAGACATCAGCAAGGCAAAAGTCAGGAAAATCTCTTCAAACTTAATCAGCACTGGTGAGGCCACACTGTCTTGGATTCAGTTCCAGGCCCCTCACCACAAGAAAAACATTGAGGTGTTGGAGCATGTCCAGAAAGGAACACGGAGCTGGGGAAGGGTCTGGAGAACAATGGTGAGGGAGCTGGGTGGGGGCTCAGCCTGGAGAAAAGGAGGCTCAGGGGGAACACTCTCACCCTCTAGAACTCCCTGGAAGGAGGCTGTAGCAAAGTGGGACTCTGTTTCTACCCCCAAGGAACAAGTGACAGGACAAGAAGAAACGGCCTCAAGGTGCACCAGGAGAGGTTTAAATTGTACATCAGGAAAATTTTCTTCCCTGAAAAAGTGGTCAAATATTGGAACAAGCTGCACAGAAAAGTGGTAGTCATCATCCCTGGAAGTGTTCAAAAGACATGTGGATGTCCTAGTTAGGGACATGGTTTAGTGGTGGACCTGGAAGTGTTAGGTTAATGGTTGGGCTCCATAAACTGAGGGGTCCTTTCCAAGCTTAATGGTTCTATGCACTTTAATAAATCAGCTCATACAGGAGGAGGGCTTGGTTGTGGAAAGTGTGTACCACAGTGTTTTTAACTCTGCCTTACATTGGGCCCTTCAAAAAATAAGACACTAGTTTTCTAAGAACCAGTTGAACTGATGGAAACATTCAGAATCATTTAAGGGGAGAAGGAGCCTGAAGGGACAATGTGTCTTTCCCAGGGAATCAGCAGCAAGCCCAGGAGCACGGCAGAGAGCTCCTGACACTATAGTAGACCACACTTTTCTTGCCTGAAAGGAGCTTATTAAAATAATTAAGCAATATAAATGCTGTAGAAACAGGGATGCAGGCATATATGTGATTGTAGCTAGTCCCACTGGGGAGAGAGACCAGCTAACTGCTGCATGGCACCTCCACACTCTGAGACACACTGATAGTGCTATTTCAGGGGATTTCTAAATTGCTTCCTTGCTTCAAACACTTTTCACATGAAACTAATCCCAGAAGTATCCATGAGCCAGGCCTGCCAAGAGGGATGCAGATCAGAGCAGATGTTCAGGGTGGCTGAGGCTATTAGACACAACCAAGCCAATAATAAGAAACTTTTATAAGGAACATTAGCCCTACATCTGTGAGATGTGAAAAGATTGAGGGAGCATTTCACACCCTGCTTATTTCTCCTGAGAAAAATGTTTTCACCAGCAAACCCTTTCAGAAGCATCAAACCCTCTCACCAACATCTCAGCATGTGCTACAGTGGCAGAGCCTGCGACTCAGTGACAGCCCCAGAGATTTTGAAATCAGCTGCTGGATTCAATGGACTGTGTAGAAACACCAAGTTTGGGTAATCCCAAGAAATACCAACTCTGTGACTGAAAAAAGATGTTCTCAGACTGTTAAATATTTAGCTGCCAGCTGGGGTTACTATGGAGAGAGGTGGCTCTGTTGGTAAGGAACACTGAGGGCAGGATTTAAAGAGCCTGTAAGGAAGAAAACCAGTTTGGACAAAAATACATGTAAGAGGGACAGTCACAAGTTCAAGACCTTTCAGGCTGGTCATTTGATGAACATGGTGGTATTTCCTTTGCCTTATGTTTTCTGGGTCCTGTAAACAGCAGGCACTTGGCTTTCAAAAGGAGAAGAAGAAATACTGAGAGAGAAAAAAAATTTGTAAGTCAGCTATAAAGGAACATGAGGAGAGGGAGAAGAGTCAGGTGTCCCTGGGACCTCCTTGGCCTCATTTACTCCTTATCTACAAGGGTGAAAACATAAGCAAGGAGAGCTGAGAGTTTCCTCAGCTGACCAGAAATGACACAGGTGAAGGGCAAGCACGGTGCAGTGAATGTCTGTGGCCAGATAAGAGCTGTGCAGAGAGTCAGATAAAGGTGACATTTCTTATCCAGTTATCAAGCAATCTGGGAGTTTGGCAGCCATGCCATGTGTTTGATATGATAGGAGGGGACTCCCCACATCCCCTCCACAGTGGTTCCTCATTTCTAGCTGATAATCTGTCCAGCCTGGGAGAAATACTGCTGCCTTTGGAGGGGCAGAATATTTTCCTCTGCTAAAAAAATACATATAGCTAAAAACAAAAAATAAAAAAAGCTTTACAAACTGCCTCCAGAGCTGATTAAACTGTTGAGCAAGCTTCAGAAGCAAGCAGTGCCCTACACACATTGAATCCATGAGCTCACCTGGGAAGCATCCCTTTGTTAGGCCATGACTACAGCCTGAGCAGGGAGAGTACACACCTCGGCCTTGACAGCGCAGTTTTGTAGCAGTAATTTGTTGATCTCAAAGCATGAAGCTGAGTTACTGAGGGTGTAGGAGGAATAAATGTTCTGCAGGAGCAGCCCAGCTCCGTCAGTTCTAATCAGTAATACTCGGTTGCAGGCTCTCACCCCTGTTTTTCCTTCCTCACTGAAAACAGAAAAAAATAAAGCTGCTTTCCATGACTGACAGCTGTGGAAAATAAAATCAATTGTTTTGGCCACAAAAACGGGCTGAATGTGAGACTTGTCAGTGACTGAGCTCCTGCCACTTTCCCCAGTGCAGGTTTGGTGTCACTGCTGGTGAGAGGAGTTCAAGGAGGGGCAGGGGCTGAAGGGGGCTCAGGATTGTGCTGCACCCCGAGATGGACACAGAGCTGCTCACAGGAGCCCTGGAGCTGTGCTCTCCAGTGCTGTGTCCTGCCCTGCACGTGTCCCTGAATGCCTGGGGGACATCCTGTGGCTCCCTCAGCTGTCCCCCAAAACCTCACCTGAGCAGAGGGTGGTGGGGGAGTGGAGTGTGCTATATTTGTGTCTGCACTGTTCCCCATGACAAAAGATTCATCAAGCACAAGCAGGAGGGTTCCACGTGAAGCCAAAAGAAAGGCTGGAGGTAACACTCCAAATTAATAGTTCTTGCTCATGCACACATGGGGAAATCTTGCACACGTGCTGCTGCATCATAGGAACCATCAATCTTCCCTAACAATGCTCAAGAGAAAAACGGGAACTGAAACCTCTCCACAGGAGAAGTTCAGATGAAAATTTTCCATCTGTAAAGGTGGCAGCATTCACCAGACTCCAGTTCTTCCAAGAACATTTGGGAAAGGACCAAAACTCTGATGCTTGCCAGGAGAGAGGGCATTCACCCTCTTTCTAAAAATGTCAGACTCATTTATGAAGAGTGGAATGAGGAACAACAGTCATGGGCAGACAGGAATGACTGGGAAATGCACAAGCAAGATGTGAATCCTAGCAACAAACAGAACCTTCTCAGCACAGAGACTTAAATGCTTCCCATTTAGGAACTGATCTGATCCAACAGCTCCTCACAGCTTGTACAGAGAGGAAAGACCTGTATTCAGTAATGTAGCAATATGGTTTTCCTATACCAGGGAAAAGGTCCATTAATCTTGGCATATTAATAAATGAGCATCTATTAGCAACAAATAGGCTGGAGATCAGGTTCCATGTGCAAGGAGGTGATGCTCAGAGCAGCTTTCTGATGCCAGAAGTAGAGGTCAGGAGAGGAAAGAAACCAAAATCTGATGGACTTCCAGAGAGATTTTGATAATAAGGGACAATCACATGGAATTAGCATGCCTTGGGTGGAGAGAGCACATAGGCACCTCTATTTGGGTCCAAGTGGGATCTGCAGCAAGGAAGGAGCAGGGCTCTCAGTGCAGCTGCAAATGCCCGTGCAAAGGAGCAATGCCTGGGAAACAGGGTCCACTGTGGCTGGGGAGGAGCTACCAGGCTGATGTGCCCAGTGGCTTGGTGGGTGGGCTGGGGAAAGTCCTGACCTCTGTGTTTGTTGCCTGGCTGATATCCCATCTGATCCTGTCCTGCCAAAGGGG